TATTATATACACACAAGGTGCGTAGACGCCCGCGGTTTCGCCCACCCCTAACTTTGGGAAGGGGGGCGGGGGATATATTGTCGAGTGCCTCACGCTGAGCGTAGCAAGCTACGGTGTCCAGGCCAACGGTTGGCCGACTTGCATGTTGCGCCAGCGTGTCTGTCTGCCCCCCGCCCCCCTTTTTGGCATCGCACCCTTTTCGACCCTTGTCTTTTTTTATTCCCCCCATTGGGTTCAGCCCCCTCCCCTGTCCTGGGCCCCCGGCTTGGCGAGCGCCGCGCCTGCCCGCAGGACGAGCGCGCCGACGCCGCGTTGACTTCGCCGAGGGGCGCCCGCGCCGAGGCGTTCCTCCCCCTCCCCTCCTCCGACGCCACCTCCTTTTCCTGCGCCTACTTCGCTGCTCCCTCGGTCTTTTTCTCAGCCAGCTCCTGCTCCTGATGCTGATCCCCCGCCCCGCTGATCCTCCGCCGCCGACTCTGTTTCGTCGCCCTGCTCCTGCTAACTCTTCCACTTCCCTCTGCTTCCCCGCCCCCCCGCCTCCCGCTGTTGCCTCTGCTGCTACCCGCCCTCCTCCCTCCTCCTCATCCTCCTCCTTCTCCTCCTCCTCTTCCTCCTCCTCCTTTTCCTCCTCCTCCTCCTCCTCCTCCTCCTCTTCCTCTTACCTTTCCCTGTCTTCCCTCCTCTTCCCAGTCCTCTGTTTGAGGCCGCCGACTGCTCCGCGGCCCTGCGCGAGACCTCGCCGCCTCCGGCCCCGCTCGATAAGCTCGCTTCCAAAATGTTGTCGGCGATGAACCGTGGTTCGAGGAGAGCCGACATGGAGACGTTCAAGAGTGGTTTGCTCGCCATGTCGACCGAGGGGAGTGTCACAGTGGGTTCGGCATGTTCTGGCTGCGACATCGTGAATCATGTCTTCAGGGTGTTACTTACCCACGCGCAGAGGTCGATGGCCGAGCATGTCCCGCAGGTGCGACACGTCTTCTCGTGCGAGAAGGACCCGTCCAAAATCGCCTTCTTGAAGAATGAGTTCGCCCCGGAGATCTTGTTCGATGACGTGCGCGTGCTGACCAAGCGGTCTGGAGTGAACTTGATGACGGGGAAGGCTCAGCGCGTTCCAGGCGTTGACATTCTGGCTGCTGGCTTTAGCTGTAAAAGCCGTGCCGCTACGAACAACGAGAGCCACTTGCACGTCAACTGCATTCAGAACAAAGATCCCGAGGCAGAGACGTCCATCACATTCCACGCGATCGCGGACTACATCATACGGTTTCGCCCACGGTTGTTTTTCTTGGAGAACGTTATGTCCCTCGGTCAGAAGAAGGACGGCTCCGACGACGCCTCGGACATGGAGTGGATCTGCGAGTACTTCGCCAACAGCGGGTTCGCGATGAAGACCTTCGCGTTCGACGCCGCCGACTTCGGGAGCCCTGCTTCTCGTCGGCGGCTTTACCTCCTCGGCTGGTCCATGGAGTTCGAGTCCGACGACTCGCCCGCCGCCCCGGCGATGCCCCTCGATTACTTGGATAGCTTCTTGGGCTCGCTGCTGGTCGAGGCCATTGCAACTCTTGTCAATCGTGCCTGCTCCCTCCTTCCCTCCGCTCGTCCTCCCTCCTCATTTCTCTTTGCCCTGTACCTCCGCCCCCCTCGAGTCCTTCTCCTCCCGCTGCTCCTGTTGCTGCTGCCGATGATAGAGGGGCAGGGGCAGGCGGGGGTTGATGGGCAAGAAGGGGTATGGCGAGAAATCGAGGAGGAGGAGGAGGAGGTAGATGAGGGAGGAGAGGAGTAGAAGGAGGAGGTGGAGGATGATGAGGTTGATTAGGAGGAGGAAGAGAAGGAGGAGGAGGGGGGATGAGGAACAACACGCGGCAGAGGGGGGGCCCGAGTGGAAACGCGTCGCCCCGCGCCCCAGGGCCCCGACATGAACTCGTTCTTGATTGCCAATCCCGACCAGTGGGAGTCAGAGATGGCCAAGTACACGGCCACTCCAGCCTTAGGCCCGTCTCGCAAGGAGGCCAAGAAGGATGTGGAGTGGCACAAGGAGCACTGCAATGCTTTCCGCGATGCCGATCTGCAGTGGCCAGCTGAGGGGGTCGACCCGGAGGGCTTCGTTGACATGGAGTTCAAAGGCGTGTCGTTCAAGCTCTACAAGGGCACCCTCTGTGACCGCCAGTTCGAGTTGACGCTCTTTTCCATGGTGAGTTTCCCCATGGCTGAGGGCTCGCCGCCGGAGTTCATGGATGTTATGCCCTCCCTCGGGCGCATCTTCAAAGGGGAGGACTTCGCCACGCCGTGGAGGACGCAGATGCAGACGATCACTGCGGCGGCCAGGCCTGTTGTGCGTTTTTTTTGGAAGGGCGAGGTGTACGTTCGCCCTGTCGGTGGTGCGGAGTGCATGGCGATCATCGGCTGGGACTACAGCTTTTGGAATGACCCGGATGCGTACAAGTACGAGGACCCGCTGCTGGTGAGCCTGGCCGGCAGCGCCTTCTCGGGCTTCGCCGTCCTCCCGATGTTGATGTGTCTCTTCTTCGCGCAGGGCAAGTTCAAGGCGGCTGCCGACGCCGAGGGCCCGAGCGTTCTCAACGGCGACGAGGGCGACGAGGAGCAGGGCGAGTCCGAGAGCGCCGACTCCTCGAGCGATTGAGGGGGCTCCCAGGTACGCCGCTAGCCTGGTTCGACGTGTTTCTCGAGGGAGCGTTGGGGAGAGTGCGCCTCCGAACTTCTCATCCCGTCCTTCTCTTCCCTCCTCGTCCTGCTCCTCCTGCTCCTCCTACTTCTCCTGCTGCATCTGCCCCTTCCCCCATTCCTCCCTGTGGTCCGCCTTCTCGTCTACCTAATATTACTCCTGCTGCTGCTGCTGCGTCTGCTGCTCCTCCTCATTGCCACCCTCGCTTCTCCCTGCTCCTCCCTGCTCTTCCCTGCTCTTCTTCGTCCTCCTCCTCCCCCTGCTCGTCGCTCCGCCTCCTGCGTTGGCTGGGCGCCGACGTGGCGATGACATCCTGGAGGGGGCTCTCATGCCGCATCGCGCCTGATCTGTGTGCTAAGCAGCCCCCCGCCCCCTACAGACGAGCATGCGTGGATGCTGGAACCCCCCCCCTCCCCATCGATGTGTTCACCCAGCCCCTCATCCTCGAGGGTTGCCTCGTGACCCTCCCCGGGCCATGGCCGTCGTCGTCGTTGTCGTCTCGTCGTGGTCCTCGTCGCCACAAGCATCGCCATCGTCGTCGGGATGAGTCCGAACCGCCCGAACCTCGGAGAAGGGCAACAATTCGTCGCCCTCATCGCCCGAACCTCGGAGAGAGGCAACCCCCTCCAACTCGAGCGAAGAGCGATTATCCTTGCGCCCCTGGGGGTGACCTACAAAGATCGTCGTCGTCGCCGTCAGGTCGCCGTCGCCGTCGCCGTCGCCGCCGTCGTCGTCGTCGTCGTCGTCGTCGTCGTCCTCTCCGTCGTCGTCTCCTCCGTCGTCGTCGTCGTCGTCGTCGGTCGTCGAGGTTTTTCGGCGTTCCCGCCCGCTCTCTGGGCCTCGAGGGGGCCTCTGGATGGCGCGAAGAGGGCCGCGGATATCCGAGGGCCATGGTTCTCGAGGGCATCGCCGTGGGAAACGCCCCGTGCCGAGCGCGTTGTCGTCGTAGTCGTCGTCGCCGTCGTCGTCGTCGTCGTCGCCGTCGTCGTCGTCGTCGTCGGCGACGTCGTCGTCGTCGTCGTCGCCGGGATGTCTGGGGCATCGCCGCCAGCGTCTCCCCCCCCAGGGCCTCTCCATGTGTGCACGTATAATCAGGTGGGGTCTTTCACGGCGCTGCAGGGGTGAAATTCCTGACGCTTCGCGCACCCGCGCCAGCCCATCCAGGAACGACGCCCAGGTGACGTGGGAAGTGCGTGAGCAAAGAGGGGGACAGCTGAAACGTTCGACGGAGGAGGCTGAGGATGGATGGATGGATGGATGAGGGAGGAGGGAGAAGGGCGATACATCGGATGATGAGGAGGAGAATGAGGAGGATGGAGGAGGAGGGCCAGCAAAAAGGCCAGAGGCTTCTTGGATGCCTCTCGGGATCTCTTGGGATACCTCTTGGGCGTTTCTTGGATGCTTCTGGGGGCGCATCGGGTCTCTCGGCGGCCCAGGGGGGCCCCTGGGCGTTTTTGTTGCCTCGGGGGGGGGGGCCTGTGATGTCCGCGTGGAATCTTTCTGGGGGCCTCTTGGGGGCCTCTTGGGGGGCTCTTGGGGCCATCTTGGGGCCTCTTGGGGCCTCCTGGGGCCTCTCGGGACCCCTTGAGGGCCTCCTTAGAGCATCTTGGAGCTGTCTCGGGGGCCTCGGGGGCCTTCTTGGAGCCATCTTGGAAGAGCTCCATCAAAGAAGGGGAGGGCCGCAGTCAGCCTTGCCCCTCGGGAACCCCAGAGATCGCCTCTCTCGCCCCTCCTGCAGCGCTATTGGGGCCGTCTTGGGGCTCTCTTGGGCCTCTCTTGGGGCGCCCTTGGGCCACCTTGGAGCCATCTTGAGGCCTCGGATGGCCATCGGAAGCAAACCAGCGAGAAAACCAAAAACACGAATATGATCTTGTGGCTATTGAGTGATCTTGGCCTCTTCGGGGCCTCTGGGGCAAGCTCTTCGGCAACTCTGAGCCGTCTGGGAGCGTTCCTGGGGCCTCTTGGGGCATCTTGGAAGCCATCTTGAGGCATTTTAGGCCATCTTGAGCCATCTTGGAGGCCATCTCGGCTGCTCCCACGCCCTCTTGGGGCCATCTTGGGCGAACAAAGTACCCTCTGACACCTCGCGGCTTCGCCCGTCCAGGTCCGAGGGATAGGGTCGGGGGAGGGGCGAGCCCTCTCCGAAGGGGAAGAGGGGGGTTGGAAGAGGGAACTCTCTAGACCACCTGCGCCCTCACAGAGCTGGTGGGGCTGCTCATCCCATCGCGACTCAGGGTAGCCCGAAGTTTTTTTCAGGTTCAGACCTGGCCGCCTTCCCCGATTTGTGCGCTGCCAGCGTTCCAGCGTTCCGCGTGGGATGTCGATCAACAACGACTTCCTGTTCGGGTCTGTCGCGGCGCCAGACGTGTCGCCCAAGCGTAAGAAGTCGAGGAAGTCGAGGTCTGACGGAGGGAGCGTCCACGAGGTGGACGGCCGGGGCTCGCAGCACCAGCCCCAGCCCGAATCCGGGCCCCGCTCCCCCGCCCGCCCCCGCCGCATCCGCCGCACGCCCGCAACATCGCCCCCCACGCACCGACGCGCGCAACGCCCGCAAACCCCCGAGCGCCGCAGATCCCTCCGCCGCCCGCACCGCCGCATGCCGCCCGCCGCCCCGCCGCGCGCAGCCGCGCGCTGCAACAGCGCGCGCAACCCCGCCTCCCGCCGAGCAGCCGCACGACGTAGCCGCAAAGCGCCCCCCGCACCCAGCCCCGCCCCGCAACGCCGCCGCCCGCTGCCGGCTGCTGCGCCCCCGCCCCAGCCCGACGGGCGCAAGTGCATCGGTTGCAACTTGAGAGACTCCGACGAGGATCCAGTGGATGGGCCGGGCTCGTTCGTGCGTTGGGCGCACCCTCCCGTTTGTGGGAAGACACAGGGCGGAAAGTGTTGGTATTGTAACAGGTCATGGTTCACTGGTTTCCGCCACGCCCCCGAGACGGGCAGCTTCGAGAAATTGATGACCGTCTGCGGCACCGACGACGCCGTCCTCCAGAAGTTCAACAACGTTCGGTCTTTGATTTTGGACAAGTGCGTGAAACAAGGGAGCAGGCACATCCATGTGCGCGCTAACGAGGTGAAGGCCGTCGTGACTACCGTCGAGCGCACCATGGTCTCCCTCGAGGATGACGACGACGTCGTGGAGCTGGAGTGCTACAAGAACGAGTACCACGGCGGCATGGGGGACCCCGTCACGAACGGCAAGGGGCACACTATCTTGATGATCCAGGGGGTCATGCACGTCAGAGTCCCAGGGCCGCCTGTGAAGAAGTTGAAGCGGTGCCAGCAGAGCATCGTGGACGTCACGAGGATGGCCGACGACGGCAGCCTCGCGCTCTCCGACACCCACGCGGCTGATGTCGCCCAGCAGCTCTCGACGAACATTGGGGCGCACACAGACGGGGCTGGCGAGCGCGTCAGGGCCCCGCCCGCCATGGACGCCGTCGCCGATGCTAGGACGCCGAAGCGGCCCACCCAGGCTGCCTCGCAGCCCTCGCCCTCGCCGCCGAGTTCGAGCTCTGCGACCGGCGCGCGCCCCATGACCAGCCCGCCCCAGGTCTTGGGCACGCAGGTGGTCGTCCCCGCGCTGCCAGGAGCGGCGGCTTCGCCGTCGGAGGTGCAGGCCGAGGATGCGTCGGCGAAGCGGGCCCGGCCCCCGGCGTCGGCCGCCAGGCCCGCCGCCAAGCCCAGGGCGGCCGCGGCCAAGGCCAGCGCTGCGCCCGCCCCATCCGGAGCGGGCGGCGGCGCAGGTGGCAAGGCGGGCAGGAAGAGGCGGAACTTGGTCTCGGAGACGGAGAAGGTGGCCAGTCAGTTCCAGCAAGCCGCTGCGGACGACAAGACGTTCTTTGGCCTCGGCCACGCGGGCATGGTCGCCTGGCTCAAGCGGTTGTGCAAGGACTACGCGGAGAGGATCCCAACGATCCAGGTGGAGGAGGACGACGGGTTTCTAATGCATCCTTATCCTCCATTTCCCCTGTGCTCCTCTTTCTGCTCCACCTCTTCCTCGCCCTCCTCTTTCCTCCTTCTGCCCGTCCTCGCCTACCTTGCACTCCCCCCTACTCGCCCTCGTCCTCGTCGTCTTCGTCGTCGTCCTCCTCCTCTTCCCCCTGCTGCCCCTCGCACTGCCCCTGGTGCTGCCGCTGCTGCTCCTCGCCATCGTCGTCCACCTGTCGCTGCCAATATGTCTTCTCGAACTCTTCCTCCTCCCCCTCCTCCTCCTCCTCGCCCTCCTGCTGCTTCTCCTCCTTCACCACCTTTCTGGACTTCTCCCCATCCTCCTCCACCTCGTCCGCCTCCAGTTGAGTTGTCCGGTCTATTCCCTCTGCCCCCTCCTCGTCTCAGCCCTTTTTATCCTGCTCCTCGTCATCGTCCTTCTGCCCTTCCTGCTGCTACTCCTCCTAATCCTCGTCTACCTCCATCTCGTCGTCGACCGCCTCGCCCTCGTCATCCTCGTCGCCTCCTTCCCCCCGTTCCCTTGAGCTGCTGGCGTGCGAGCGCGATGCCTAGCTCAGCATTTGCAGCAACGTGCCCAACTAGTGTGTCCTACCTCATCATTCCCTCCCACATCCTCTTCCTCATCATGTTCCTGCGTATGCTCCCTCTCGTCCTCCTGCCAGCGACGTGCCCCCCTGTCCTCTCCGCGTGATTGCGTCGGCCTGGCCGACTCAGCGAGGTAGGCGGGAGTTCGGGTCTCAGCCTGCGGGGCAATACAATGGCGGCCCGCTCGCTGTCCTGCCAGTTTCGTCGGTGATCCTCCTCCTCCTTCTCCTCCTCCTCCTCCTCCTCCTCCTCCTCCTTCTCCTCCTCCTCCTCCTCCTCCCCCTCCTCCCGTTCGTGTCCCTGTTCATGCTGCTCCTCCCCCGCCCATCTCCTTCCCCATAGTCCCCCCTCTTTGCCCGTGCATCCCTCGCCCGCGCGCCCGCCCACCCTGGGCTGCCCTGGGCAGGAGTACGACTCGCACATCTTGGGACAGAAGATTGCCAAATCCATCCTGTCCATCTGCACGGCGTGGAAGAAGCATGGCCTGGATTCGTCGGGTTTCGCCGGCGCCATCAAGGACGCGATCCATTTCCTTGAGATGCTGCCTGCAGCGAGGACCGACTTCTTGCCTGACTTCATCCGCATGTCGGAAAAGAAGTTCGCTGTGTCGGCATGCCCCGCCGATTCAACGTTCTGGCCAATGTTGTCGCGCGACAGCGTTGGCATGACAGAGGCGGCCCCAGCCGCCTGGGAGCAGTTTATCTCGGAGATGATTCTTGACAAGCTGATTGACTGTCTGGAGCTGAAGGACGGCTTTGAGCCGCAGATCGCCAAACTCTTCGAGTGCCCGGACGCGCTCGACAAGGCCGACCTGACCGGGGACGTCCAGGAGCAGGTGAAAGCTCTCGAGATGCTGGTGAAAGGTGCGACGTCCCCAGTGGAGACCCTGCACGCCTGGTCGCGGGCCGACCTTGTCTCGGCGATGGCGATTGTGAACGACAAGCAGAAGAAGATCGCGAACTGCCCCTCGCTGTACGCCCCGGGCCGCAAGCTCGTCCAGCGCATGACCTTGAGGGTCGAGAGCTTGGTGCAGAGCGATGCGAAGATCGAGACGTTCATTGCCGCGGTGCGCGCGCTTGTGGGATCGCTCCCGGAGCGTTGCAGCGACTTGCCCAATGTGGCGTCGGCCCTGAAGGTTAACCTGGATTCAGTCATTGACGAGCTGCGTCGCCTGGGCCAGGCGGACATCAAGCGGGCCGATCAGATGTTCACGGAGGCGGCGGGCAGCATGATCAAGCACGTCTTCGTCTTGTACGAGAGGTTCTTCGAGTGGGGGCATTGGCTGTGCAAGTCTGCGGCGGAGAACGCTGCCGAGCCGTGGCCCGAGAGCATCGCGAGGAGCGCCCTCGCCGACCTCGAGGGTCCGTTGGCGGCCATCCCCCACACCGCGCAGTTCAAGGCGTTGTGCAGCAAGTTGGATATCACCACGCGCGTGACCTGGGAGCAGATCGACGGGGCTCGCGTGCAGATGTCGACCCTGCTGTCGCAGATGCCCGATGCGCTGAAGGTGTTGGCCCAGATCAAGAATGATACGTCGAGCGTCACCAGGGAGGATGCCTCGCTGCTCCCGCGGCTCTTCTACAACTTCGAGATGAAGTTCGGCTGGGTGAAGATGATTTGTGAGCCCGGCGCCGATGCGCAGGTCGTGGGGTCGCCTGCACCGTCGTCGTCGCCACGCCTTCCCCTCCCCTCTCCCGCTCGCTCCCTCCAGACCTCGCCACCCTTCATTCCCGCGCCCCCGCCCCCCGCCCTCGTCGGCGAGGGGGCGGAGAGACAGGCCCTCGTGGCGATGGGCCGTCGACGATGGCCCATCGCC